GAGAACCAGTGGGGGAGGTTGCCGGAGCTTGAGCAACAGCACCGACAACAGCGGCGCAGATGAGAGCAAGAACAATAACAGATTGACGGGCCATTATTACAAAGTGGATCGGGGAAGATCAGAGAAATGAGAGAATGGTGAAAAAAGATGAAGGAGATTGAGAGGTTATATATGGCGAAGGAGGGAGGAGAGAGAAAGAGGAGAGGGAAAATGAATGGAGGATTTTATTTTCAAATTTTAGAAAGTTAGGGTTGGTGGTGAAGAAAACAACTCGATTTGACTTAAATTCAAAATATATATTTAACTAAATTAGTCAATCCATCTATTAAAAGACAACAACAAAATATATATGTTAAAATTAGAATATTTTAGGCTCATATGATAATTATTCTGTTTTTTGTCTTTGGTTGAAAAATTAAGTTTATACATCTTACTTGCCGGCCAAAACGAACATAGTTCACATCGATAATTGACATATATCTCCAATAAAACTTTGTGAGTTTGACCTCTTATCCCACATGTTGTACTAAAAAAAGTTTAACAAATTGGCCATCGAGTAAACCACGTTTATTATGGGATCCTGAACAATATGTTATGTTAATATATGAAACTAATATATACGGAATATATATTAATATTAGCTAATTCAAGCGGCACGTGTCCTTTGACCCCAACGTTGAGTCGCTGGTGGTAATTAGCACTATTTTGTATGGGTGCAACTGCAAGCCAAACAGACTAAAACTATATTAAATTAATATAAATATAATATATATTATTTAACTAATTTTAGGGGCACGTGTTTCTGACTCCAATATGGATCATATTTTGTATGCATGACCATGCGAGACAAAATGTATAATGTCTCCTAAGGTATAATCTTACAAGGAAAATACTTGGCTCCTCCCTAGTAAGGAGGAATCTTGTCCGCACCACCATTAAATTTTTGACAATTAACAGAGAGAAATACAAAAATAAATTTCTATCTTACAAATGCTTTCCACAAGCTTGGGATTATGTACTTTGTCTTGCAATTCAAGACAAAATGCATAATCTCAGATGCTTGGTGCAAGTTTCAACTTTGCACAATTAAGATCGATGTCGATTGAAACATTGCGGTCTCAATTCAATGGAAATAATGTTCATATATTAGTCGTATTATGTTGATATTTTTATATTTTATCAATTCTTTTACAATATATAGAAATATGGAAATATCGATAAAAGTGTTGACGTATCAACAGAAATTTAATACATTGGGCGCAAAAGGAGGTAATCCAAAGAACTCTAATAAATAAAAATAATAGTTGACACTAAAAACGAAAAGAAAAAACTCATAAACAAAGATGCACAAACAAACAACCATTCACCTTCATTTCGCACAAAAATTGTCCACCTTCCTTCGCTAAAACCCTTTTTGTCTTCACCCAAACATCCTACTTTCTTATGCAAAAGCACTCCATCTTAATGTTACTCAACAACGTATACATATATTAAGGTTCCTCAACAACGTATACATATATTAAGGTTCGTGTGCATCGTTAAAACGATCATAGTTCGGTGGTAATTGACATATACTTCCAATCAAGAAATTGTGAGTTCGATCCCTTATTCCCACGTTTCATCGTGTCACATTAGTAGTCTTATTAATTACATGAGTTGGACAAAGCTAAGAAAACAAAGAAATATATATATTTATTTGTTGGATAGAATCATAGAACAAGATAGAGGGTTCAATTCTTTATATATAGTTGTAGGAGTGCAAGAATGTTGCAAAACTATTAAAATTTAAAATCATAAGATTTAGAATTAATTTTTAAAAATAAATTGAGGAAACTTTTTATATTAAAATTTTCATACTCTAATTTTGTACATTCTTATCCTATTTGTTAGTTTAAGTGAATCTCATATAATTATAATTTATTAGTTTCTTAAATCAGTACTTCATCTATATATATAGTTGGAGAAGTTGATTATTTTTTTCGAATACAAAAGTATATAGCGTGGAGTTTGAACCTCCAACCTAAAAAAATTAATACATTTAAACTAGGTTAAATAACAATTTTAGTTCTTATACTTTAGTTGAAGTAGCGATGTAGTACCCGAACTTTCAAAAGTAACAATTTAGTATAGGAACTAAATTATTATCCATATTAAATTATAGAGACTAGATCATTACAATTAAAAGCTCATGACTAAATCGTTACTTTGGACCAAATGTGTTTTTTATCTTTTAAATTATATTGAGATCAACAAGCAAACTCTCACTTATTTTTATATAAAAACACAACTTACTTGATACAAATGTTGAGATTATTCATTCAACACAAAATAAAATATTGGTTCAACCATCAAAACGGGGACTCATTGCAAAAGTAGAATATTAGAGCCCTATATTAGCAAATCTATCAGCCAAGAAAATAATTTCCAAACAATTTACGAGCCACAAAAGGAGAGCCGGTCGGAGCCTTAGAAGGAGAACTGGCCGGAGTCTCRCCGGTCGGCGAAGAAGCTATGGAAGGGTAAGAACCAAGCGAGCTCATCGTAGCCATCGACGACGGAGCAGATGCTGATACAGACGACTGCGATGAAGCCTCTGAAGAGGCAGTCGGCGACAAAGAAGGAGAAGATGAGGCGGGACCAGACGAAGAGCTGATCAGTGTCGGAGAATCGGTGGGGGAGGTTGCCGGAGCTTGAGCGACAGCGCCGACGACGGCGGTGAAGATCAGACCAAGAACAAAAAGAGATTGACGAGCCATTATTAGAAAGTCGATGGGAGAAGAGAGAAACGAGAGAGAATGGTGAAGAAGATGAGGGAGGTGGAGAGGTTATAAGGGGAGAAGGAGGGAAAATGAATGGAGAATTTTAGTTTGAAGTTTTTCAAAGTTAGGGTTGACGACTTTGACTATTTTAAGCTTTAAAAAGTATATTTAACTAAAGGTTAAAAACTGCTTTTCTCCATGTAAGGTAAATTTAGGCTCTAAATTTTAAGTGGGTAAATTATACTCTTCTTATGTACGTGTACATCCATAAACTTTTTTTTAGAGATTGATAAACTTATGAATAAATAATGTGTTTATAAAATTACAAATATTATATAATRAAAGAGGAAGATTTTTCACATAAGAGACTAATTGTTATAAAGTTWTAAACTATATAGAGATTAAAAATTACTATGTGCTAAAGTTTAGAGATTAAATTGTTATCAAATTAAAAGTATCATGTGCCTATATTATTGTTAGTTATAAAATAAATTTTGAGGATTAAATCATCACTTCAATAAAAGTATAGGAATTAAAAGTAGTTTTTAACCTTGCCTTGGTTAGATTATAACATTTTAACATTTCAACTATACAAGGCTAATGATATGTGTTTAAAAATTAATGTTAAAAATGATATGGGTTTAAAAATTAATGGTAAAAAGTACATCCGTTGAAATAATGATTTACCCATTCTTTTTTTTATTATTATTATTTATTTTTATGAATACAACTTTGATCAAAGTTGCGAGGTCAAGAATGACCAAAATAAATGAAGCATAAAAATATTGGACAAATGGTATTTTCTTGAATCCTATATATTATTTTAAATAAATATACTTCTATAACAAATAATATTTATATATATTTGATTTTAGGATTTTTTTTTTACTAACTCTAGACAAGAACAAGAAATTTTAATTACAGGAATCATCTCTAAATAATCACCAAAGAATCCCTTTAAAAAAAACTAAATTTAAGTAAATCTGTATAAAATTTGATAACATAGATTGTGAAATTTAAAATTTAATACTAAGATAGTTTTTTCTACCTTCAAATTTTTAAAACAGGATTTGATTGATAACCAATTTATTTTCTGTTTTTTGTTTTTCAAAAACTATTTTGAAATTCTAGGTAAATTTCAAAAACAAAAAAGTACTTATCAAAAACAAAGTTTTTGTTTTTATTTTTCTTCTAATACTCAATTTTTTATTCTTTCTCCCTCTAAAATTTTTTATTTTTAAATTTCTCTCTACAAACTTTAATTTTTTCTCCCTAAAATTTTCATATTTTAAATATTTATTATTATCTGTCCTCTCCAAATTTTTATGTATTTTTTTTTCTAACAAGTCAGTTTTATTTTTCTCTCTAAAAATTTAATATTTTTCCTAATTTTTTTCTGTCCAAAATTTCAACTTTTATAACTTTTTTTTCTCTTCGTAGTCTATTTTTTCCTGTGAAAATTATATTTTATTTTCTCATTCAATTTTCTCCCACGGTAATATTTGTTTATCTTTGTATTTATTTATTTTATCTAAAAATTTTATTTTGAATCTTGTTATTATCTATAAATTTATTTCCACTATAATTTTTTTCTTTCTTTATAATTTCTTTTTTTTTCTTTAACGTATCTTTTCTTCTCTACTTTATTTTTTCTACAATTTTTCTCTTTTTTTTCTTTAACTTTTCTTTCGCTATTTTTTGTTTGTAAATCTTTATATCTATCTCTCTAAAATTTATCAGTCTATTTACATTTCTCTAAACTTGTATTTTCATGTCTCTACATTAGGGGGAAGACAAAAATTTTTGTAGGGTTGGATCCCAAAAATAGGAAATGCATGTCTCGACCCCGTCCCCAATTCCAATTTTTAAATAATTAATATATATTTATTACACTTTTTTTTATATTGAAATACTAAAAATAATTAAAAACAATTATAAAACCGATAATTTTTCTCGAGAATATCTCTCGAACCCAAGAACGAGGTGGAGACGGAGACTAAAAATTTTCATGAACACGAGAATGGGAGAGAACATCCTCACTCGTACTCACGTAATCGTCATCTTACTCTATATACTCTATATAGAATTTTCAATTTTCTAACTTTTTAAAAGCAGAAAACTAAAAATGGTTACAAAAAAATGTTTGGTTTTCTGTCTTTTAAAAACAAAAAAAAACAAAAAACAAAAAATCGATATGAAAGAGAAAACCATAAATCAAAAATTAAAAACAAGTTAATCAAAAATCAAAAACCAAAATGTTATATCCTAAGTTTTTAGTAAAAATCTAAAATCTAATGTAAATTTTAAAATTCTAATTAAGAACAAGAACAAGATGGCGAGTTTCATGCTGCCTATCGTGCCGTTCGCCATTCCGACAGTGACCATTCTGCATCTATGTCCCTGCCCAACACCCTCTTCCGCTGCCCAGCAATAATAGCCGCGACCACTCTTCCGTGTTCGATAGTCATTCTTTAAATCGAGTCATTCTTCTCCCGGATAAGGATTTCCAATATTATTTACAAGGCATGCTAATGGTGGTAGGGGTGTTCACGGGTTGGGTCGGGTCGGGTTAGGGGTATTTTTGGGATCAACCCGAATTTTCAGGTTGGCCATATGGGAGAACCGACGGGTTAAAAATTGATGGTCAACCCAACCCAACCCAACCCAAA